ATTCTGTGTGGCCTTCAGATAGTCAAGAAGACAGTCAAGAAGGAGAAGCGGGAGACTGCCTTTGTCAAGTTTTAGGATTAACCTCTCTTTACACTAGCTGCCATCAGGCTGTGTCTAGGGAGCAGCAGAGCAATGTGGATTTTCATACAGCCAGGGTTTAAATGTGTGATTTTAAATCAAGAGCACAGTTTGGCAAGAGGCACGTTCTTTGGAAACTCAAGCTTGTAAAAAGTTTTCTCTGAACACAGAGTGTGAAGATCTATCATTTAAGCTCCACTGAGGACTTCCACATGTCTTCATGGCAGAAGCTTTCACTCTGCCTGAAATGGAGCTAGCGCCAAGCTCCAGTGTCCCACTGAATTCCTTTAGCTTGAGAACAAACTTTGATTGGACATGCTCGCTTCAAGCTTACAGCAGGATTAGATATGCTAACACCTATTTTAAGAACAACCCCATTTTTCAAGGCCAACAAAGGTGTCCCCTCACTACAGTTCTGAAACTCTAAGGACAAGCCTTTCAGGAAGATCCATAAGTGGCTAGTTTCCTGTACCGAATGATAAAAGATCATTTAATCCACTGCAGTCCGTCTCAGGCCAAGCCCTTCTTCTGTGGTAATCCTTGGACAAACAGAAGCCACCTTTGACTGGGCCAGAATGTTATCAGGGTTTTCTCTTCTCCCAGCACAACAGAATTCCAGAGAGGGAATGATGCGCCCAGCCGAGTCGTTCTGACTCGACCCCACGCAGACCCCTTCTGCATGTCCAACAACAGACAGGCCACTATCTCCTGTCTTTCATCAGCTCAGGGATGGAGAGGTATTAGGACCACCTCGGCCATGCAGCAGCAGTCAGGACGTACATGATTAAGATAGATAGACTTGCCTGGGACACTTAATCTTCCGTGATTAAGTATGTTGACTGAAATATGTTAACTGCATCCTCATGTTCCACTCGCACAATTAGGTTGAATTAGCAGAGTGGGGTTTAGCTTTGCTCTAATGCAGCCTGTAGTTGTGCAATTGCCCTCATGAAACGATTACTTTGAGAAATGTTAGTTTACTTTATCCTTGCTGGAACAAAGATGTGCAATTGAGCGTATGACCTAATATCACTCTTATTGCCTCCTAATGTTTAACAAAGACTTAGCATAATTTTATTGGCCTCCTTGAGGAAAATGCTTTATTATTTTTAAAGTAAAATAAAGCTTTCACTTGGAAAAGCATTCACGCCAGAAGATCCTCTTTTGCTTTCACATGCAAGCGATAACAAAAGGACAGCGTAATTTTATATTGTTAATATTATTTATTTTAATTATATTATTAATATTATTTATTTTAATTGCTATATTTTCATAGAAAGAGCATCCATCAGCTTGACATAGAAACAAATGAAACTGTCAGAAGCATACAAGTGAAGCTAGTGATAAAGAATGTAATCTACATGTAAATGTACATGCAGGTAATGTACAATGCATGTAATGTAATGCATTGCATTGCAGCAGTACTGTGCAAAAATCAGAGACCACCTTTCATTTATTTCATTTCCAGTCAGAATTAAGTTTAAGGAGATATTTCTGAGGAGATTATATACAAGGTAATCCACTTATATGAAGAAGGAAAAAGTCAAAAGAAAATAAATGAAAAACCAAGAGTTTCTAGAACTGGAGTTCTAAAAACTATTAAAAGGTATAGAGAAAATGAGATGCCTAACAACTGTGCAAGACCTGGAAGACCACCAAAACCGTCACCATCAGATAGACAGTACTTAAAGCTTTCATCTTTGAGAGAAAATCAAGCTCCACTCTTGCTTCAGATCTGAAACAATCCACCACCACTGGTTCTGTCCATCCTTCCACTGTAAGAAGGCAACTCAACTCTATGAGTCCGAAAGGATGCTGCCAAGAAGCCCTTACTGAGAAAAAGAAAATGAAGAAAAGAAGAAAATGTCCAAATCAGAGAAGCTGCTGGTGTTCTCAGAACAATGGACTGATCACAGAGTCCAGACCTCAACATCACTAAATGTGTTTGGGATTACTTGAATTGTAAGAAGCAAAAAATGCAAGCAACTTCTAAGACTGAACTTTGGAGGTGTGGAACAATATTCCTGCAGTTTTCTTTGGAAAACTGAAAACAAGCCTCCTGAAACAAATGGAAGTTGTAATAAAAATGAAATTGTGGCCATGCTAAATATTGCAAAAAATCATATTTGTTGTTGAAGCTTCTGTGTAATTTTCTGTTAAATATACATTTTTCACTTTTTTCTAAATAATTTGCACTTAATACTCATTGGGACTGGAAATTACATAAATGAAGCATGGCCTCTGACTTTTCCACAGTACCATTAATAAGTAATTAATTATGTAACTACATAATAACCTTTCAATAGCAGTGCAAAACAATGACAGTAAGTCCTGACTTCTAAGGCTTAATGTTAAGGTTAAGTGTGAGTGTAGCAGTGCTTGTGTTTAGTTACAGTAATGCACAGTTCAGTCACCCTTACAGACAGTAATAGAAGTGTGTGTATTTTAAGCTGGAGATGTATGAAATGAAAAATGTTAAAGGTCTTCTCTGTGTTTTTAGTGTGAGTAAGGAGGTATTATGGCATTAACAATGTTGGCAAAAGCTCTCACACTCCCACATGTGAAGAAAAGTCTCTCATTAGTCTAGAATCCAGCCTGTAGACGCTGTTAAGCATGATAAGGACTAATGGAATGGGTTGAACCTACCTACAAATGTGCTTTAAATTTGACTTTTTCACCTCAGAGACAACCCGAAATGAAATGAGGCACAATGTGCATGTCATCTAAAAGTAAGAGATTTTACTGCTCTGTACAGCATGAGCAATTTGTATGATAAATTATAAAAATTTGAAGCTATAAAAGAAAAATAAAGATCAATAAATACTTAGAAATAATGAAATAGTAAGAATAGCATAGGATAATATTATTCAAAAACAACTTCATTATTAAAGTATGAAAGTAAAATGGTAGAAAGTGGAAATGAAAATGGAAATATAATTATCCTGTCATCACTGTACTTATGAGTCTTGACTTCTGCAAGGTCATGAGTTCAATTCATTAAATTCATTAAATTTAATGAATTCATTAAATTCATTAAAGATTTAATACATACCTACTCTATAAAATAGTTTACTGCTTCAGTCCACAGAGAATGTGCTTCAGTATGGGACCAGTCTATCAAAGCCTCTTCTACACCTACTATACTTCAATGTTTATACATTGTTCTTAATATGTATACAAAATGTACAAACACTAGTCCTAACCTTTCAAAGGGGTGTTAAACATGCTGTCGGAACAGTGTAGTTAACATGTTCACTATGTTAGGGGCAATTAATGGTAGTATCGACAAAGAATCCATCATGAACTATGTACACTGCATGCCAAATAAACCAATACATTTGGGCAATTAATCACTGGTTATCTGACATTTTCTTTTAATGGTACCAATAAACCATGAATTGACTTTAAAAGCAAAAAGTGTGTTTGCCTAATGCATGTATAGATTTCTGAGATAACATTCACTATCAAAGAACTTGACTTCTAAAAACAATTCTATCATCAAATAATACAAATTGCTATATTCCTTTGTGAAGCACATGTATTACAATGTTATAACAAAAATCCCTAAATTGGTCTGCTGATGCATAACACACATTTACAAGAAAAGGAATGAAATCTTGTTGCTTCAAGCTACTTACTGTTATGTAAGTGTAATATCATTTTAATAAAAGTGTGTTTATTAAAATGCCAGCTATTCATAGCCTACAGAAATACAATTGCTTTGATTTGTAAGAAAAACAGATATGAATTTTCATCATACTTTAGTTCTGTAACTTGCTATATTGTAAATATTTATACAGCACTTACATACTTTGGATATATATTGTTATATACATTTGTGTATATACGCTACAATGTTATATATTTTTGTTTCTGCTCATGTTTGATGTAAATTATGCAATAAAGCTTCCAGCAAATGTTCAATTTGATTAATGTGTACATAGTTTCATCTTGACTCTCATAAAACAGTGTCATAATGAAGGAAGTGAAAGTTTAAAGAGGAGGCCACAGTCTCCCGGGACTCTCCTTCACTTCCTGTCATTAAAGAGACAGTGTAGGAAAAGCTTGCAGGGTGACTGACTGACCAGCACCCGCGCGACGTGTGCAGTCCACCTGGACATCTGCGAAAGCAGGCACTGCTGAAGCGAGACGCCCCTGCCAGGCGGTCACGCAGTGCGGCGCGAGCCACAGGGAACGGATGCAAGCTCAGTACCACATGTATAAATCAGCAGCTTGACAGTTAAGTCACAACTGTAATGCTGTTAAAAAAGAAGAAGCTTTCCAATAAAGCACTTGTCACAGCATGGAAAACATTGCCAAAGGCTTACGGTCACAATTTGTTCTCTGACGGCGCTGCTTCGCAAGCCATAACCAAAAATATCAAGCGCATAATCTAATATCTTTCTGTCAACACTGGCAAGATCAGAACCAAGTGGAAAAAAGCTGCTAAATCCCACAGTTATATAAACAGAGAAGGACAGAGACAGTCAACAATGCGAGCAACAATAACTTACGTGACTGCTGGAATAAATTACACACGTTTGTGTAATAGACTCTTAAAAATAAGTGCTTATAATCTGATTATGGTCATCTTGTTGAAAAAAATCTTTAATTGGTGTAGAACCTTCACATTATGGGAAGGTTCTTTAAAGTTAAAAATGGTTCTTCACATACATCTCATTTACAAAAATAGTTCTTTAAGGAATCATCCATTGAACGATTCTTTAAGAAACCAACAATGGTTCTTGGTATTGCTCCAATGAACCCTTTTTGATACCTTTATTGTCAAGAGTGGACTTTTCGAACTCTCAGTCTAAGCTCCACCATAATTTGCTTTCATTTTGTCCAGCAGTTGCACATGCATTTGCATGCAAGCAACGTTATAATCAAGTGACCCCAAGTTTAGACCAAAACAGCCTTACCTTCTGTAACCACTGTGTGTAGTTCTCCATGATGTGCTCCAGCTGCTGGATCTTCTGGCTGGGGAAGTCAGGCTCAGGTGGAGGGGCATCTCTCTGCAATGCATTGGCATTGTACTGGGTGGCTGCTTTTGTCTCCCGGCATGAAGTCCCACCGTTTCCATCACCTTCTGGGAGGATGAAGGTGTAGGTGCACTGGCCGTGCTGGAGCCGGTGGTACCTGCGGCTGCTGGAGCTGCCGGAGCCGCTGCTGCCTGTGCCATTGGCCTTCCCTGAGGAGCCCCGTGACCCTTCATCCGTTTCTCTCTTCTGCTCACAACCGGCCACCACCAAAAGAGCTGCCAAACACACAGCACGGCAGGCGAGCCTCCACCAGAGCATGGCAGTCAGTAGTCAGTGAAACAGGTCAATGATACAGGTCAGTGATGCAGAGCTTGTCAAGCAGGGTCTCTTTGAGGGCTTCTTTGGTCAAAACGTCTTCCTTGGGTCGTCTTGATATTAGAAGCTTTTGGAAGAGTCCAGTGACCCAGGGCATGTGGGTATGCCCATATGGTATGTCCAGGTCAGTGATGCAGAACTTGCCAAACAGGATCTAATTGCGGGATTCTTTGGTCAAAGCTTTTTGGTCTTCTTGGGTAGTCCTGAATCTGGTGATATTAGAAGTTTCTGAGAGAGTCCATTGGTCTGGGGATGGATACGTCCATATAGGACATCCTTGGGAAAGAACTTGTATAGAACATTGCTGGTCCAGTCCTATACCTCACACTCCTGAGGTGTATTTCGGCCATCCAGTTTGTCTCTTTGAAGAAACAAGTAACCTCTTGAAGAGTTCTGTGCACGTGTTGCACATTGACAGCTTTTATATGGACACAGCTGTGCAGCTGAGGGTCTACAACAAGGCTTCCATGAAGGTGCAGCATACAGAGAAAGTGAAAACTGTGTCGTCAGACCTCCTCTGGTGCTCCCTCGCCCTTTCTCTGTCTCTCTTTCTCTCGGTACCGCCTCTGTTCTGTCTGTGGCCAAAGCGACTGCGTAAGATTCTTTGCTGTAGGCTTCTAGCACGCTCTGTGCCTGCCCCTCAGAGTGACTGAGGAGGAATGTGTGTGCGTGTGTGAGTGCGAGAAAGAAAGGGAGAGTGAGGCAGTGAGGGACCCCAGCGCAGAGGATGTTCTCAGAGTGTAAGGATCGTTTTACAGGCTCTCTGACCCTGGGCTTGTGTGGTAGCCCTGCCTCCTGTGCACTGGGCCATGCTGCGGCTTCCTCGAGAACGAATGTACATAAAACTCACAAGGATATGCAAACGCATTCCGCACAATGTGCCATACGCTTGATTAATTTTACACTTAGAGTAGTTCCATTTGTCACCAAATTTGTCATTTTGCATTAGTTCCTACGTTCCATGTAATTCTATATGCACAGCAACTTAAAGAAAAACATTTCAAGCAATTAATCTATCTGACTTCATTTTCACCCTCCGAAATTGTGAGAAAATATGAGACACCGCATGGAATGTGACATTGTGAAATTCTGCTCCTGTCAAGAAAACCAACCAGAGTTTTCTTACTCTGCTATTTTCAGGAAAGCAACAGTGAAACGCAGCACTGGCCTGATGGAGGGACTGCATCATGAGAGGAGACAGCAAAAAGCCAGGCTTTTCTGAGAGTGGTACTGTGGTTTCTCTCATAACGGGATCTGTTTGGGGAGTTGTGCTCCTACATCAGTGCAAAAGAGCTGGAAACAGTAACAGTCAGGATACCTTGGTGAAAGATGAGGGGTCGGAGGTCAAGTTCCAATTAAGGCTTCCTGCTTTCACACCCCTCCTCCCCCCTTCTCCTCAAGAATCCGCCCAGTAGATAAAGCCCGGGACGCCTCTCGGTGATGTGCCGTCTGCTGCGGGGAGACGTTGTGCATTAATTCACACCGCCCTCCTCACACTCTCTGACTCGCGGCCCAAGATAACGGGCCCAGAATATCCCTGGACCAGCCTCGGGCTAAAAGCATGTGTAAACATTTCCCTGAAATCTGGTGCCTGACGCCGTGCCCCTGTGGCCAATCTACAGCCTTCTGTCCCGCCACGGTATCTGTAATAAAATACCAATTTGGGAACTGTTACATAAGCTGTGCAAAAATGGCCAAATCCCATGTGTTATGACACTTTGTCACTAATGCTGTAAAGCCTAGAAGGATTTCATGCTTGTTTGCCATGTACCTAGGGTAGCATTAAAAGACTAAACATCCAGTGTGTAATATGATTTTATTGTCTCTTATAAATCAGTTTTAACTTTAAGCTTGTTTTGACACCCAAGAGAAAACTCCTGCACTTTTATGGTGTTGTGGTTAACTGCTTTCTGCAGGCCTCCTAGAGGCCATTCCACCAGTGGAATGGAAATCGACTCATTGAATACTTTTATGAATATAATCTAATCAAATAGTTTAATCCAAAATATAATTGAAACTGAAGTAAACTATGTTTTAAAGGTCTGAATTCATTAAAAATGTTAACATTTAAGACTGAACTGAGGGCTGAAATTGTATTGTATGGCTACTGTGAAAAGGGGTTAAGGCATCTTAGTCCAATAAGTGGCAGGGATGTTAGGGAAATGCCTAAGCTGTCAATATTTACATCATGTTGAACAATGTGGGACTGGAATTTTGCACAGGTACGTAGACAAGAACAAGAAAAATCTATATTGGTGACTTAACTGTTGAGGTGCTGAAAGGTTGCTTTAATATTTCCAATACTGACAATTTGTATTATGTATTAAATTATTGAATAATTTAAACACCAGCAATGTATCATTTCCCACTGTGTGAGCATGTAGGCCATCTTATACATGTCATAAAGGCCTATTCACACCAGTTGTTTCAGATGAAAAAAGCAAAGCAAATGTGATTTTGAATGCAGTGGAACTTACACAAGGTCCAATTCACCTTTTTAACCACTCTGAGAATGTGGAAAAGACATAAACAGTCACTATGTTGTACAATATACTTTGTTTAACTTCCACATTTTTCTAGTCAATATGTTGTTATATAAGCTTTTGTGCCACAAGCAAGATGAGCTGAAATCCTTCCATCTTGACGCACATTTGCTTGTACTGCAACCAGACAACAGAGCTCTGATAACTCAGCCTTTTTTTAATGTGTCCCCATAACACAGAAAATTGAGTTGGTTCATATTAAAAACTTTACATAACACCTTAGTCTGTGAGTTTCAGACTCAGTGTTGAAGATTCAACACTGACTCAGACTCAGTGTTTTCAAAATTTGACATGTATTTTTTTAATCTGTAAAAATAGGTTTGAATTTTAATACATATTGTAAAATATTAAAGACCTTTTTCTTCACAGCTTTTGTAAAATAATAATAATACGTAATGTAAAAAACCTGAGCTGGTATTACTTGCATTCTATGTTATTACATTACAACATCATATATTACAAAGTACATTTTGCAACCAGCATTTGCAAGCGCCACATTAAGAAGGGCAATTTAAATGAATTACATGGTTGTGTGCACTCCTCAAAGCTTCACTGTTCTCATGCAGTGGAGACATGGCACAACATTTACTCTCAGAGCCTTTCTTAGTCAATTGCAAAACTGAGCCAGCGCCAGTTCACCATTGAAGCATTTATATGGTTAATTAGCAGGAACTAATATGTCATTCCACCACATTCTTTGAAATTCAATAGGCCAGTTCATCCGTGTCATAGCCAGGGCCTCTCTCCGACAAGTCTCTGAGTTTAGTTCATCAAGTCCCAAAGGAACTGTGTGCATTCCACAAACAGCTTCATTCAAACCTGTCACTCTTAAAGCACTTAACATCTCATTTGATAGCCTACCAAGCCTGCAGAGCTAATTACATTCAGTTGTGGGTGGCATCTCAAGAGCTGTGACAAATGGTGAAAGTTGAATTGAGAGGATTGTTAGCAGCTTCTACGCAACAACATTTATCAAAGATTTATAGACATGACACAAAGACTCTTCATGGGTCTATAAACTGGTTAGCTTACGCTTGTGCTAACAAGCAGCAGCGACCAGAGAAATTAGAGTATTTAGCGGAGAGAGTGCAATCAGTTTCATTTCAGTTTTGAAAAGGCCAAAGATGGCATCAGCCAACTCTAATATCTACAGAGATTTATCACTGATCATACTCTTTTACTTAAAGTCTTAAAAAATAAAGGTTCTTACAAAAGCTCTTGGCTTGGGCGTATGGGAAAATCCTTTGATTGGTATACAACAGTGTTCCAATTGCACTCTGGCTTTTAGGGGCTTGTTTCTTCACATGCCCAGATTTAGTTTATTCTAATCTACACACATGCATACACACAGCCTGCCAGCCTCATTGCAATGAGGTGTTTTGTTTTGCATTTGAAATGTGCAGTATAGTTGGTTGGCAAACTTTGGTACTGTTTTTAATTTTAGTTCTGGAAAACATTTTGATCCTTTATAATGGTGACATGCATGAGTACCTACAGATATGAAACTGACATTTATTACTGATATACTGTACATACAGTTTGCTAAAGGTTTGAACACCCCTGGTCAAATTACATTGTCTTTAAATTTTGAGTTCATTGAACTTCTTTTGTTCCGTTAACTTCAGTGAACTCAAAATTGTACAGCAGCCAAACAAAGAGTACAAAACAACAGGCTACAACAGATGACCATACCCCATAACCATAATACATACAGTGGGTTATATGCATTAAAGTACATTAAAGTACAGTTGCAACGGTGAACACACAACGACTTACATGAACTTTCAGTAGTACATGCTAACACAGAGCATTTGTTCTTAAAATAAATTCAATGGCAACAACTAAAGCTTAACAATCTGAATGACTGAATTAATTAGCTTTTGCAGGAAAACTTACAACACTTATGCCCTGTTGGATAAGAACCAGAACAGACAAAATATGCAGGAGAGAAGAGCTCTCTGGAGTTAGATTTGATTTCATTGTTGTTTTCTGCATAAATCAGTGAGGGAGTAGGAATATGTTGGAATAAATAATGGAATAATTAATAAATTAGGCTATTAGTATCAATGACACCACCCAACTACGTATTTTATTGTTTTCAATAATTTAGATCTTATCAAGTAGATAAGCTCCTTCTGGCTCACCTGTAATTTGCATGCTGAGAACTTTTACATTATCTGCAACACCCTGAGATACCATAGCAATGCCCTACTAACACCTTAGCAACTACCTGGGACACCAGGTCAATAACCTCTTAATCCCTTGGCAACCAACTGGGATACCATAGCAATGGCCTAGCAACACCCGAGTAGCCCCCTTGGATAACAGAAAACCAGCCAAGTACCACCTTAGCAACCACCTAAGCTACTATAGCAAAGGCCTAGCAACATCGTAACAACCACCTGGATTAACATAGCAGCATCTCAGCAACCACCTGGGATTTCATAGCAACCGCTTTGTCAAGCCAAGCCAAAGTTTACTGACAAAGGTTACCTTTATAGTTTATAAATGCAGTTCATTAAAGAACCACTCACTGAAGGTCTTTTGGAAACCAAAAGTGGTTCTTGTATCTTCAATCCAAAAAAACGCTTATCTTTATTTTAAGAGTTTATATTTAATTTTTATGTCATTACACAGATCCCAACTACTAAAAATGCAAATCAAATTTATCTTAACAGAACACAAGTTTATGACAAAGCTTTATGGACAATGACCTTTATTTCGCCAGTCAAAGGGGTCTGATTTTGTTTGATTTTGCCCTGAGGAGTAATGTATATGTAATCAGAGTAGGAAGGCATTGGTAAAACTATGGCGCAAAAACAGTGAGAAAAGAGGATGAATATGTCTTGCCACAGGTTGAAAACACTGGTGACGTGCCCTTAACGTAAAAAGGAAATAAAGGAAACTGAGATCACATATGACATGTTTAGTCTGCCCCCTAGCACCTTGGACTAATTCATTGTGGCAGAG